GAGGGGGACCCGCCGCCACCGGGAGCCACCTCTGTCCTCGGGCAGTGCTCAGGTGTCACGTACCCGCCCCCTCCTCGCGTCCTCTGTAAGTGTGTTTCTGTCTTTGTAACCTTAGCAAGTTTCTGGGGTTAGTGGCGATCCCCTTTTCTAGTTATTAATACAGGCGCGGTTCCCATCGTTACACGCAGCCGAATTGCCAGCGGGAGCTGGCAGGGGGTCTGGAGGTGACAGGTAAAGGTGACCGCTTCTTTCTGGCTCCACTGCCCTGTACTGAGAGGAAAATGAATGCTCGAGACTAGAAGCTTTGACAGAGTTCAAGAGATAAGGGATGGAGAGCGACTCTTGGCAACGGACTATGAATATAGAAAGGATAGAGCGGTACATTTGGGTTTTTTGAACATGGTAACTTGTGTAGGCTTGTTTTAGTAGCAGACACAGAGCTGGTGGAGGGGTATACAGCAGGGAACTGTCAGGTCAGCTTGACAGGGCGACTAGACAGACTTCTCAGCTGCCTTCATCTCCTGTCAGGTCATAAACCAGTGTAAAAGCCTGGGATAGTGGGGTAGTAGTTGTGGTAGGAATAGGGACTAGGGGCAGAACATCCCTGGCTGAGAGTTGCTGTGAGTTGGGTGTGGGATATTTGTGGCACGGAGTAAAGCAGTACAGCTGAAACGGGCTGGAATAGAAAGGTTTCAGGTCTAGCTGTTGTTTTGGATTTCTGGTGCCTGGCCTGTTGTTACACCCGGCAAACCTGGCAGCTCAGTAGCAGGCTCCATTCCTCGTGATGCGCTGACAAATACCAGAGCCACACCTTGGCCTTTTGTTTTTTTTTTAAAAAAGTTCTGTCACCCTTTACGATGAAGGTGACTAATAAATGGAAAACATTGTTCATAATGTCATCTAACCTCTTATTTTTGCACAACATAAACTTGAGCTTTGATGCGGGTGCTACAAGAGGACTTGATGGAGCACTGTGGGATGGGGAGACAGCAGTTCTGAGGTGTGTTTGGTTTAAGTGCAGTACCTTATTGAAAGTCGAGAGTTACAGTGTCCTTCAGGAGAGAGCAGATGTCATTTTCTTCACTGACAGGGGTGCGAAGGAGGAACGGGGAGCCTGGCAGCACTGACTCCTGGGGGGGTCTGCCTTAAGTGCCCCTTGTCACTCTTGGTGTAGGCTGTCACAGCTGTTACCCAATGCCAAATTCACCTTTTAAAATCCTCTGGCTTGTTACAGCTGGCTTTTGCTGTTAGCACGTAGGTATTTATCTACCTAAACACTGACATACCCTGTATTCCAGATACAATTGTTTCTAAACGACATCTTGCATATTAGCTGGATGAGCAGTGGCCTGATCACTAGGTGGGGAACGGAGTGTTATCAAGGAATACACTACGCTACTTTGATCTGCTTAACTGAAAGGTTTGGCAGAAATAGGTATGCTGTATTATATGTTTTCATCTCGTCTACAGTATCGCTAATTGGAAGAGGATAAAATCACAGCCACTTAGCAGGCCTTCTATTGCTGGAAGATTTCTGAAGCTCACCGTGTTACTGGCACAATTACACTTTTGAATTTTTAAAATACCTTCTAGCATGTAATTTGCTTATGCTGAGTGACTTACAATAAATACATATACGCACGCACATATTTGCTACCACAGTTGTTTGGAACATGTAAGGAAAAGTATCTGCTCCGTGCAGGAAAGCATTTACCAGCTTCCTGCTACTTTTTTTTTTTTTTCCCTGGAAAACTTTTTTTCTTTCTCTTTGCTTAACTGTGATGTTGGGTCTTCTCTGTCTCCTTTCATTGGTGTTCCCAGTCTCTGTTTCTGATAGCCATCTACTGATTTTATTTCTACCGTTGTTCATGTGTAGACTATTTCCTCTGCGCTGCTGCCAGTGCAGGATGAAACTGAATTTCAGGATTTCTACCTCTTGCTTCCCTGGTGCAACTCTGGAGTAGTTGTCTAGAACAAATTAAAAAAAAAAAAAAACCACAGGTGCCTATAGCAAACATCAATATTAGCATTCCAAATGCTGTTTGGAAACTGATGAATAATAACTAAAACCCCCAAGTGCTGTTCCCCCTGGCAGGGCCTGGGAGGCCGCTGGAGCGGGGTGCTCCGCACAGCCCCACACACTCTTGGCTGGAGCTGAAAGCAAAAGCTCCTGCCCTCGCACTGCTGGCCTGGCTTTCCAGAGCTGCTCGCTAGCAGGCAACCACTGTCACTCTTTAAATTTCTCAGTTGCCTGGGAAACAGAGCAGTATGTTTCTGTGGAAATGGGAATTTCAGCCCCTTTGGCTAGCGGCTGCAAGGGTTATGAAACGGCCCTGGAGCGAGCGCAGGCCTGCGGGCTTGTGGCTGCTTGAACCTGCGCAGGCTTGCGGCAAGGTGCCTGCGTTTGCTCAGGGGGGGCACTGCCTGCTTGGGGGGGTTACCCCTACAGAGTTTGAGGGGATTCATCACAGAGCTAAGAAAAATTTTGTAAAGTTGGTCCTTTGTTTTTTATGGCAGCAAGCAACTATTTTGCAGTCAATTTTTTGAAGATAAATTTTATCTTGTCCTTTATGTAGGTTAAATAAGCTAGACGTGTTCTTTATAAAGGAAATTTCCCTTCTGTAACAGTTCCTTTGAAGAGAACTACTGCCCAAGATTTAGGAAAAAATAGTGATTTTAAACATAGAGATTTTTTTTAAACTATATTCATTCTACATATATAAGAGAAAATAATGAATGAGAGTGCTTACTAAGGATTCTTTCTTTTCTAAATGTGAGCAAAAGCTTAACTATTTTTTTTTCTTTTGTTTAAGTGGAAGTAACATTCCTAAGATTCATAATAACTTTTGATATATATATATATAAATAAAACCTTTAAATTTATTTTCCATGGGAAATAATTTTCAAAAAAAGAGCTTATCTAGACAGTGGAGTAGATTTGTTCAGCTTCCCTTCGTTATTGACACATTTCTTTAGTTCAGTGTCTGGAATAACACTTAAAAATGTGAAATTATTAATGTGTAGACCTAAAGAACCCAGTGTTGCCACAGTGGCTGATGAGAAAAGCTGGAAAATAAAGCTCTGTGGCTCCACAGTAAAAAGAGAAATACCTTATGGTCTGTAGTAAGAGCAGTGCAGTACCGAAGTAGATTTAGTGTCAAAGTGTTGTGAATGTCTTTTGCTAAATGCCTGTAGTACTTGATATTAATTCTCTTTAACGAGAAGAATACACTAGTTAGTTAGAAATGCTAACACACCTTATCATTCTTCTTTTAAAGGGTGGTTCTTCAGAATTATGTCTCTCTTTAGTAGATTTTCTTCTGACTGTTGTCAAGGTCTGTTTAAAAAGTGGAGTTCAAATACGTGAATCAACATTTTATATTAATTAGCTGAAAAAATGACCTGAAGTGTGTTGGATAGATGTGGGGTTTTTTTAAAGCTGAATTAATCAAAATTGTTTTCAGTATAAAGTTGACTTGCTCAATAATCAACATAAAGTACCTCCTTGAATTAAACTTGATTTTTTGGGTGATGATGGCCAGTAGATTTTTTAATTTTTTTAAATTTCATTTTTGAATTATTACTCAGTCTGGTTTTACAGGGCAAAAGAAATCTGATCAGACTTTGTTGAACACTTTCACTTTTGGGTGCACTAGCCTGTCTCAATACAGTGAGATAAGCCACACGTATTTCTTTACAGCCGGAATAGGTTTCTCTGTTCAGAGCTGATTTAACTCTCAAAGAACCGGGGTCTGAGTATTTAGCTTCTGACTTTCATCAGGTTAACTCTGTGCCTTTTGCAGGAACAATGCTGCTTCATTTATTTATTGTAAATTGTTTATTAGTTAGTGCCAAATTTAATCCTTATTGTCTTTCATAATTCCAAATGCAATTTAAGGTTTTATTTTCAAAGGAGAGTATATTTAATGATACAATTCCTTTTAAGTAGATTCACTCAAAATAAATCAAACTTTATTAATCTCGGCGTCAATGACAAATGCTGATAGTTTGATGCAAAAATATGTTAATACATTAAAAAGCTTAGGAGGGCACATCTGAATAAAACAGCCTCCTTAAACCCATCTCATAGCTAGTGGTCTTCCTGACTGAGTCAAACAAAGGTTCAGTAGCACTTGGTGCTGCTGCGTTAGCCCAGCTGCACGTGATTGTTTTCAGATTTAGAGTGAGACCCTAAATTGAGCGTCTTTGATACTAAACGCTTGGACAGTTTCTTTTTGCAGTGTAGCAAAGTCTGCAGAGTTGACTAGAACTGGTGAAGGGGACAGGAAAATGTGACATAAAGATAAGCAAAGTTCATACTGATTTCCCCATTTTTTTAAAGAGAATTAAAAACAGAATTATGATTTATTATGAAAACTGGCATTAGAGTTACTGTTATTTGTGACTTTACTGTGTGATTTCACTAAGCTGGCAAAGGAAAGCAAGGCAACATTACAAAGGGTGGAAAACAAAAGTTAGTTTTTTAGTTTTGGGCTTAAAGTAACCCAGGAATAACCCCACGAGTCTAATTACTGTTAGCTGTATTGTGCTTAAGGGCTGCTGAGTTAGGCTCTCGTTTGTGCCAGGGCCCAGAGATAGCTTTTAGTACATTTGACTGCTTAATACTCTAATGAATATTACAAAAGTAACATTTGAAAAAAGTTAGGGGAGAAAAAAAAAGTTGCTGTACTTATTGTTCTATTCTTATGTCGAAAATGTTACTCATAGTGGGAGAAAATTTTCATAATTCTTAGGCTATTTAGAAACTTTGGTTCTAACTTTTATCACTCTCTTCTACTGTTTTCCACTGTAAAAAAAAAATCTAGTAGCAGATTGCTGCTTTTTCTAGCTTTTTAAGGCAGAAGTTGGATATGGGTGAACACTGTCTAGTCACTGACATTGTAAGTGCAGATCATAATTTGCTGAAATCTTTGAACCATTGCTCACTTTCATTCTCTTTTTTGTCTTTTTTTTCCCCCCTTAGCAGTAAACTGCCGATGGCGGTTAGGTTACAGGTCATCAAATCTCGTGTTGAGACACTTAGGTTAATAAAATGCTTTTAAGTGTGTTGATTGTAAAAAGACATTAAACCGTTCTTTGGGGTTTTTTTGTAGGACATGCATCACTTTGAGGAAGAATTAACATGTTCCATTTGCTATAGCATATTTGAAGATCCACGCGTTCTGCCCTGTTCCCATACGTTTTGTCGGAACTGTCTGGACGGTGTTATTCGGCTGTCAGACAGCTTTTCCATTTGGAGACCCCTGAGACTTCCTCTGAAGTGTCCGAACTGTAGGACTATTGTGGAAATTCCTGCCGCTGGTACCGAATCGTTGCCCATCAACTTTGCATTGAAAGCTATTATTGAAAAATACCAACAGGAAGATCACTCTGATGTTGCAACCTGCAGCGAGCACTACAGGCAACCGCTGAACGTTTACTGTCTTCTGGATAGAAAATTGGTGTGTGGCCATTGCCTTACAATAGGAAAACACAACGGCCATCCCATAGATGACCTTCAAAGTGCCTACATAAAAGAAAAGGAGGCTTCGGGAAAACTTCTCGAGCAGCTGACTGATAAACACTGGACTGATGTATGTTTGCTGATTGAAAAGCTGAAAGAACAGAAGTCCCAGTGTGAAAGCATTGTTCAGGAGGATAAAAAAGCAGTAATACATTATTTTAAGAAACTTGGCGATACCTTGGAGCACAAAAAACAAGCTCTGCTGACTGCGCTGGATGAAATCAACACGCGTGTTTTGGAAGAATATGAGCCTCTCATTGAAAAGTTGAAAAAAATAAGGGAAGAACAGCTTGAATTAATGTCACTGAATACATCTATTCAAAAAGAAGAGTCCCCACTTATTTTTCTTGAGAAGGTGGATGATATGCATCAACGTATAAAAGCTTTGAAACAGAAGCAGCTGCCAGATGTTAAACCTGTGGAGATTTATCCAAGGGTTGGGCACCTGTTGAAAGATGTGTGGTGTAAAACTGAAATTGGTCAGATCAACAAGATCCTCACTCCAAAAATAAAACTGATTCCGAAAAGGAAGTTACGCAGCAAAGGCAACGGGAAGGAAGGAAGAGAGTCTAAAGTGCCCCTCCAGGCTGTGAATCCTTTAGCGGTCCTGCTTCTTTTTATTGTACTGGTAACTGCGTGTTCATTTCACAAACTGGTATCATTGGCTGTAATTGAAGCTACTCCCACTTATATCTCCACGTTCTTGCTGCTTATTTATCAAGATTTCTGCACCCGTTTGCAGAATATAGTGGATGCGCTGGGCCATACATTTAATTTACTGATGGAGTTTTTAGGGAGGATTGTTTCTCTTTGAGTATTTCAATGATGAGATTAAAAATTAGTGTAGGAATCCCCAGGATTTTTTTTTTTAATTTCTACTTAAAAGCTGGATTGTTAAAGCTCTACACTTTTGCTTTCTATTTCTATATCCTTTCTTTTTCTGTATTCTGTAGATTTCATCTTACTTAACTCTTAGTAAACCGAGAGGATTTGCACTAAAGCAGGCTTCCTGTTCCGCTGAGGCGATAGTGTCGGTTGGTAGGGGTTGTTTAAACTGGGAGCCAGTCAGAAACGGTGTCTGCCTGAGAAAGCTACAGGCACCTTGCAAATGGGAATCTGCAGTCCTGGTTGTAAAAACTCCTGACACATCCTCTTTTTTTTTTTTTTTTGGGGGGGGGGGTAACATAATTTTCAATTGTTTTTTTTAATAAAAGCACCACAACAGTAAAGGTTGAAAAACCACCTCAGGCTGCAAACTGGCGAGTCCTGGACGGGTCAGGCGCTGCCTCTGGTGTACACAAAACTCCTATTTTGTGTTTTTACTGACCTCCCTCTGAATGTATTTTAACTGATGCACCTGTGGGCTTTAAAGCTTTCACGGCCCTGGGTTTCATTTGGTTTGTTCCTGGTTACTAGTGGATGACATGATTTAATCTTTTTTTGTTTGTTTTTAATCTGTGTTTAATAACTTCATGTGTTTCAAATGGTTCTCTCCAGGTTACAGAGCGGTACCTGTAGGACTTCTGGTGAAATACTACATAGGGGGTTTTAGTGCCAGCTGTGCACAAATCGGGTGTTTGTTTAGTCCGGCAGGGAGCTCTCGCTGATGCTAACGTGAGCCGTGACTTTTTGCTAAATCATGTAATATGTAGTGAAAATAGAGACACAACTGTAGTAAGCAGCAAAACTCCCACTGAAGTCAGTGGTGTAAGGGTTTCAGATGGTGTCAAGAGCTCTTGGAAGAACTTGACCATGAATGTAAATTTATATTCAGCTTTTCAGCACAAATAACAAAAAGATCTTAACTTTGACACAGGGGAAACACAACATGCTCCAGTCTCTACAGTGCTCAGGAGCAAAAGGCCCAGTGAAAGCCATTTCTGGCCTTCTGTTAGGAGCAGGCTGATCACAGCAAGTACTGGGGCAGCCTCGGAGAGCTGCAGTTAGAACAGGTGAGCTTACAACTCACTGAAAACCCAAAAATGAGTATTCGCCATGACTAATTGTATTTGACTTGATAAAAGTAGTAGCATATTCTAGCCTAGCAGCATTCCTTGGCTGTTGTATATTTTTAAATAATAGAAGATGTTTAAACAGCGATTGATTTCTGAGGCTAGCCTTTAACTACTGGGTATTTTAAAACCCTTGTGCAAACCACAACTTGCCCATTGCTACCAGCAGGCACTAGTGGGCTCCTGCAAAATCCCAGTTGCTGCCAGACTTGAGTGAGAGCTGAGAGCGAGGTCAGTCCTCAGCGATGCCGTGCTGATACATTCCTTAAGCCTAAATAAAGATCCTAATAACAATATTGAGACCCTGCTGTTGCTGTGCTGATAGAACAGGGAGTCCCAGTGCACGGCTGCCGTGCAGCTCGGTGGACTCTGGGTTTGGCTGGGGCAGGAGCCGGCAGCGCTCTGATGGCCGGGCCTGTGCCGGCGTGGTGGGAGTGGTTTCTAGAATTTGTACATACGCTTTCTGTAATGTTTTCATGTTCTAAAAGCAAAGCCCATGAATGCCACTGGTCAGGTTTTGAAATGGTGTTTGGGTGGATCCTGGGACTGGATAAATGCCATCATACTAATTCCCCAATAAAACTGGGAATTTGTTTTTGTCTTAAGCCCTGGTAGCAGGCTGTCACTTGGCACGTCACTCTCAAAACCTGGTGCTACGTGTCTGTCCACTATCACGTGAGGCTTCTTTTTTGACTTACCTTCCTTTTCTTTTCCTGACTTTTAGAAACATACAGAGAGTTTATAATGCAATTTTATTTTTCAAGACTACGGGAATTTATAAAATGCCTTTACCACTGATTGAAAAATTTAGTACTTGTACTTAACAATGCATTATATGTTTTAATAAATTTGCATACAAATAAAATATATTCTTACAGTAGAATTGGCTAACGCCTTGATTTCCTTACTGCACAGAACCTCCCTGTGCTCCTGCACAGCGCTGACAGCTGAGAGGCGACGGAGCAGGGAT